CTTGGAGAAACAGTAAAATTGCTAGCATTTTACATAAACTTTTGCACAGGGAATTGCATCCCAATTCCATCAGGTAACCTTGTCTCTATGGAATGAATGTTGGAACTTGTGACCTCTCTTGCTCAGCAGCAGAGGTCATTTCGGGGGGGATCGCGGGGGATCGCAGTTCCCCCGGGTGAGGTACGGGGGCGGGGCACATGACAAAGCCCCACCCCCGGCTTCCGGCCGCCCCGCTTCCGGCCCTCATTCAGCCAGGAGGAGGTAGGAGAAGAGGGAGGGTAAGTTGCTTCCTCCCTGCCTCCTCCTGGCTGCCTGGGGCCAGGGAGGGCCTTTGCGGGGCTTCCTTGTACTCCAGCCGGCCTTGCAGGTCGACCGCCGGGCCCCTGATGTCAGGGTGTGTGGCATATGCTAATGAGTTATGCTAATGAGTTCCCCTAGCTCTTTTTCTACGAAATGACCCCTGCTCAGCAGCAGGGAAACCAATTTACTGATTATGAAGTCACCTTATTTTATATTGTAGTTTTGAATGAGACATTAACAAACTCCAGCAACATCCGCAGAATTGAAATGGGAGAATGGACAGCGCAGAGAGCCTTTGGTGCTCTGCTTAGCATATCCTCGGAGCAGCATACATCAAATCAGTTGAAACTTTTTAGTAGATCAATTAAAATAGTGGAAACTAGTGTTCAGTTTGCCTTCAACTCCTCTTCAAGACTACGTTCTCACAAAGAAAGAAATGCTTAGGACCAAAACAGATGTGATGGACTTAGAAAGGTATAGCTGTTAATCACTGAAATGTTTTTTCTTTGCTTCAAAGCAACCAGGGGTGTTGTTAATCTGATCAGTCTAATGGTCTTTACACTCCAATCCCCATTACTTAGCCCTGTGAGAAAAGTGCCTCCCCACCACCACCTCTGCAAACCCTTTCCCCTGCTCTGAAGTTTAAAAAAAACCTTCCCATGCCCGTAGCTAGGATTTTATATTTCAGGGGGCTTTCAAATTTTCAAGGGGGCTGCTAAAGGAAAGGAGGTAGCCAACATGCACCGAGTGGGTGTGAGAAATGTTTAAAAGGGTTTTCAAGGGAAATCTTGTGGGACTATCCCTTTAAGAAAGGGGGCAGAGCTATGAATAGCCCCACCATAGCTACAGGCCTGACCCCTGCTTATGGATCTCCCCCAGATATTTATGTTGCTGGCCAGCAGAAATGGGAGATTAGTTTTTCTGAATCTCTTATACCATTTGAGTGTCTCAGAACACTTGAAGGTAGATGAAAAGAAAAAAAATTCTATACAAAACATGCTGCAAATCTCACTTGCAGAAATCATTATGAAAATCTTCTAGACAGAATACAACCGAAAAGGAGTCTTGTGGCACCTTATTTTTGTGAACTACTACTATTACCTCAGAATGAAGCCTAAACCAGCAGTTTTACAGACAGCAGAGTGGGTAGTTTGCAATGATTAAAAGGTTCACATGGGGGAGGTATCGTTTGTGATACCTATACAAGTGTAAAATAAAAGCATGGTGCCTGTTTACAACAGTGATTATACCAAGTACTATTTATGTCAATCCATTCAAAACTTGTACAGGCTAAGAAATGTACCAGATTCATATTGGTACTTTATAATCCAACAGTTTCAATAGTATTACATGATTTTGTTTCTCTGGATTTTTCATGGGACAATATAGCTGTTCACAGCTTTTTTTTAAAAAAAAACCAGGTCAGCCACAGAGTGCTGTGGTAGATCAAAATATTCTGTACATTTCTGAATACTGCCATTTTTGATGCTATATGTGCCCTTTTTTCTGCATAGAGACTGACTTGCTTGTCCTACCTACTTGGCAGATAGGCATTTTTGATGGCATATATATTATTTTGATAGCATGCCTCACATTAGAGACAGAGCAGTTTAATGAGCCTCAGATGATAGCATTAAAAGCTGATATTACTAAGTTGTGTGAGAGTACTCCTTGAGTGGATATGGGAAGAGATTTCGAATCTGGGCATTTTTGCAGCACCTGATCCCTGAGTTTCCGGGGCACTCTGGTGCTGATCTGAGTCATTGTTCTTCAAAAAAGAAACTTCAGTAGACCAGATTTAATGAAATGGTAATTGAACACAAAAGGTGTGGATATGCAACGTAAAAAATGATAAAGTAAAATGGTTGTATAACAATAGTAACAAAAAATTTTCAAGAAACCCTATACTCATGTAGAAAAAAAATGAATTGGTGGTTTATTGGAGTACTTGGTATTATAATATAAGGAACCTTGTTTGATGAGAATAATTAATGATTTTGAAAGGAAATGTTTTTTTAGTATTTTATTATAGTATTAGGAATTGAGATTATAGTGAAGAATATGTACTATGTAGTAGATACATTTTAAAGGAAAAATTGAGGGAAATAGATACTCAAGACAGAATAGTTTTGAAAAGTGCAGGTGAGAATAACTTCTTATGGACTTGTATTCTTTTGTATACTCCATGGCTGTGCTGTTGTAAAGAAAAATGTTTCAAGGTTTTCTTTGTACTCTTGAGGATGTTTTCGTTAATATGATATGGTATAACCCTTGGTATCTTCTAAAACCCAATAAATAGTTAAAAAAAGAAATTAACTTCAGAGGGAGAAACTGCTGAATTAGAATGTATTAATGTTTGTATCAGATGTTAGAATCCTGATTGACACCTTAGCCTTATGCTTACCTTGTATAACTGTGTTTCATGGAAGAATGTCTGTCACGTGTTGTTTTGTTGTTGTTGTTGAGTCGCACAGTCGAGTCTGACTCTTCGCGACCCCATAGACCAGATCACGCCAGGCCTTCCGGTCTTCCGCCGTCCTCTGAAGTTTGCTCAATTTCATGTTCGTTGCATCTATGACACTGTCTAACCATCTCATCCTTTGCCATCCCCGTCTTCTTTGACCTTCAATCTTTCCCAGCATCAAGGTCTTCTCCAGTGAGTGCTCCCTTCTCATTTGGTGGCCAAAGTATTTGAGCTTCAGTTTCATTATCTGGCCTTCCAGGGAACAGTCAGGGTTGATTTCTTTTAGGATTGACTGATTTGATGTTCTTGCAGTCCAAGGGACTCTCAAGAGTCTTCTCCAGCACCATAGTTCAAAAGAATCTATTCTTCGGCGCTCGGCCTTCCGTATAGTCCAACTCTGGCAGCCATACATGACTACTGGGAATACCATTGCTTTGACCATGCGGACTTTTGTTGGGAGGGTGATGTCTCTACTTTTTATCATGTTGTTTAGGTTCGCCATCGCTTTCCTCCCAAGGAGCAGGCGTCTTTTAATTTCATGGCTGCTGTCACAGTTTGTGGTGATCTGGGCTCCCAGGAACGTGAAGTCTGTCACTACTTCCCCGACTTCCCCTTCTATTTGCCAAGGAGTGATGGGGCCAGATGCCATGATCTTCGTTTTTTTGATGTTGAGCTTCAAGCCCACTTTTGCGCTCTCCTCTTTTACTTTGAGCAAGTGGCTCTTTAGGTCTTCTTCACTTTCTGCCATTAGAGTGGTATCGTCTGCATATCTGAGGTTGTTGATCTTTTCCCCAGCAATCTTAATTCCCACTTGTGATTCATCCAGGCCAGCATTTCGCATGATGTACTCTGCATATATATTAAATAAGCAAGGCGACAATATACATCCTTGTCGTACTCCTTTTCCTATGCTGAACCAATCAGTTGTTCCATATCCGGTTCTAACTGTTGCTTCTTGACCCTTATACAGGTTTCTCAAGAGACATGTGAGGTGGTCTGGTACTCCCATCTCTTTAAGGACCTGCCATAGTTTGTTGTGATCCACACAGTCAAAGGCTTTAGCATAGTCAATGAAGCAGAAGTAGATATTTTTCTGGTACTCTCAAACATTCTCAAGCATACAAACAATATTCAAACACTCACACACACAATATAGCACTATAAGGAAACAGAGGCGATTGATAGCTTATACAACCTGTCCAGATGTGCAGGGGTCCATGAAGAAAGGATTGTGGCCTAAGAGTTCAGGGGTGGACTGCCATTTTGGATTATGGCAGAAAACACACTGTCTGTGGCCATGTTTACGCTGGGATATACCCTATGGAAGACAATGCAGACCAATGGGCAGTGCTGGGGGCTGGTCTCAGGTGAGAACAATAGATTTCCTGGACCAATGATGAGTCCCAGGGGTGTGTGGCATCAGGATGGGCAAGCCTAGATGTGACCAATGAGCTTCCAGAGAGGCAGGGTCTGGATTTAACAATAGAAGCCAGGTGCTGGGTGGCTAGTTAAATGGATTATCTGGCCACTAATGGTCCTGGCCGGGGTAAACAAAAGGTTGGAGACTTTGTCAGGAAGGATTGTTAATAATTTGAATGCTTGATTGGTTTATCCCGGTATCTTGAGGGACAGAGTAGAAAATACAAGTATTCAGACAAAGAGTTAAATAGACTTTAGAAATGTAGATACTTTACCTGCTAGAACTCATTGTTATTCCATAAGCATAATCTCTGCTGGGTGGAGAAGACTGGAGGCTTGCTCTGAGGTTGCCTATCACCTGAAAATGGAGACCCCTTTTTCAGAGCTGTGGCTAGCTCTGTTTCAGAACCAGGGGTGCCTTCCTTGGCCTGAGTTTTGTGGGTCTCTGGGTCAGGTTAGAAGTGGGGTGCCCTTGGTATTGGGGCTACCCAGAAGGCAGCATCTCTGGCAACAGTGGGCTGTAGCTGGTATAAGGTTAAGCTTTAATAAATGTATTATTCTTTAATGTGCCTCAAGACTTTTGTAGCACCTTAAAGAGAAACACGATTTCCAGGGTATAAGCTTTCAAGAGTCAAAGCCCCTTTTGCTGTATCTGACAAAGGGAGCTTTGACTCTTGAAAGCTTATACCCTGTATGCTACAGGACTTCAGTCTTGCTCTTCTATTGCAGACCAACACAGCTACCCATTTGAAAAACTTTTGCTTTCCTAAAACAGATTAGTATAGTTACCGTACTAAAACCTGTAAGTCGGTAGAGCAGCAATTCCCAAACTGTAAGCCGGAGTGCCATGAGAATAAATAAAGGATTCTGTGATCCAGATCCCACTCAACCACCCATCACATCTCTTCTAGCCTCTTTCCAGCCCCTGGTGGGGAAGAATAATTTTGCAGCATCTTTGCATTGGTTCTGACTTCAGTGTTGCATGTTGGAGATATTAGTCATTGTATCGCTGCCTGAGTCACTTCTCTGGACCTGCCTCCTTCCAATTATGCCTATCCAGAACAGTGACTCATGCACCAATACATAGGGTAGGCTACCCCAAGGGTATGCAAGTCTTACTCCTTCATATCCTAAAAGTAAATTTATTTCAGGTATAAAAGTGAAGTGTTGCCAGTTTTATGCCTCTGCTATCATAAGTTTGGGAAACAAGAAGTCAAGGATTATGGCATTATTTAACTTCGTTAATACTGTGCACATATTTCAAAGCTGAGGAGGGCTTTGAGAATACGCAGGCCTTTCTTGGCTCATCTGTACCACTTCCCCCTCTGGAGGCCCAACACTGTTAGCATTGCCATTCTGTGTCAGAAAGGTTAGACTCTTAACAATTTATTAAGAACATCCTCTCATTTGGGTGCTGTGAAGGGTGTCCAATTACACATAGCAGGCGGGGGAGGCAGAGAAGACTGGGCACCCAATAGCCAGGATGAAGCATCAAAAACAGCTGGTCTGTGGGCTATGTGGCTACATAGCAAAACTATGGCAGGAACCCTTTTGCTATTTAGGGGGTGGGGGTGGGAGAAAGCTTACAGATATGATTGAAAAATGGCCATTCCTCACAGGTCACCCCTTTCCATCTCACGGATCAAAAGAACATGTTGGTCATGGTTATGAACATTTTGCTCTTGGCGGTAGCTTTTGCAGAATCCCAGTGTGGATGAAAAAGGTAGGGGGTAATACAAACAATTAATCACATCACTTAATTTATTGGAACCTCTCCATGTGCTCATTTACACTGTGGGCCATTGCTTGACAATATGACAGATCTGGCATTACTGCCTTCGTGAAACAAACATATTATTGTATTACTAGCCAAGTGTGCAACAAGATGCAGGCACAAGCTTGCAGCTCTTCTCTCCACCCCTTCCCCCTGCTAATTCTCTAACACTATATTTATACTGAAAGGTTGCAGTGCTGAACCATGTAATGGCCAAACTCCACTGAAATCAACAAAATGGGCTTCAGAACTGTTGCCTACAGGCTGTATGCTGGCTGATCAGAACACAGTGATAAGACCCCAAGAGTGAAGGTTCATTCTGAAGCACCGAGCTAACAAGGAATACAGTTCACAAATGATATAGGGAATAGAAGGGGAAGGTTTAGCCTCAGTCCCCCAGAACACAAATGGTTGGGGGACTGAATGGGAATATACCTTTTAAATGATTCTTAACTCTTAGTGCAACTGAGGCACAGTCCTCTGAGGAACCATGCCTAGGGCATTTCAGGTCTTGTTAGGGATGTATAGATTTTGAAAAATACGAACACAGCATTTATCTATACACTTTTTTAGATTTTCCCACCAACTGTCATACACAGTGAAAGTTTGGAAATCACAGAGGGTGCAATATTGCAGAAGGTTATAGAGCCTAGAACCATAAGGGTAAAAGTGCCCATTACACATGGGGGGGAAGCATTAGCTGTCAATACATTAGCAGTGGTTCCATTTTTTCTACCTTCCTTCCGTTTTCCTTTCAATAACACTGGGAAGGTAGAAGGCATCTTCAATATTGTACAAGTATGTTTTACAAGTTTGGGCAGAAATTCAGTCCCCAACAAGTGAGCAATCCATAAAACCCAAAAAGGGGAACAGAAAAAAAAGAAATGTTGCCATGATCATCATTCTTTGAACTTCCACTCTTGCCGACACATTGGGCAGTGCTGCTGAACTTGCTGGGAGTTGAGCCACTTCAGAATGCAATGCATATGAAAACAGTGTGAACACTGGCCCCACACCAGAGGGCAGTCATCTCCAGGCACCTTACCTGCAAAACATAAGCTTAATTAAGGGAAAGTTGGGAGAAGACCACCTACACATGTAAAAATAAATGTCAGTGGGCACACAGCCCTGCTACTCACAGTCTGGGCAGCAACCATTGAAGGCCATCCGGCAAATTCCACAGTTCTCATCATTGGCAACCCAGAGCCAAGAGGCGACTCCATGCCAGCACTTGATTTCCACTTTCATTGTATCCAGACTACATACTAAACTTAAGATCGAATCTGAGGGAATAAGAAAGAACCTAGATGGGACTTTGGTGAATTTCAACAGATTCTTCAAACCTGAAATTGAGCTAAATGTTCACTTTTTCTACAGAGCTCACTGAGGTTTCCTACCACCTATAGTAATGTTCTTTGCTACTGAATGATGTGATACATACTAAATTCAGGGCTCTGCATTTATAGATATGTAGACGGTGTGGGAAGGCTTGGAATTCACTCAGGAAAACTGTCAAGTGTGCTATCAGTTATTCGCTGTATCTTAAATTCCAGCATCCACAGGGAAGGCTGAGCAGGGAAGAAAGAAAATATTTGTAGAAGCAGCAAACTCACCTCAAGATGAGCATTTCTACTGTGTTCATTGGGCAGACAAAAAAAAGCTACACTCTAATAATGGTTTATCAAAACCCAGAGCTTCAAGAATGCAACTAGCAGTCACCTCACCCTACAGTAAAGCCCCAAACTAGTGGAGGATAAAAGGTTACCCTGCAGAAGGCTCTCACAACAGCACACCTTGCTGTCTCTAACAAGTAGTTGCTGCATACATTTTTATCACTACTATTATTTATGCAGGGGTACCACTTCACAGTAACATAAGAAAACACAACAAGCTGAAGTCTAAATGGCAGCAGTAGGGAAAAATCAATAAAGGGAAGGCAGAAGAGGGATAAGGGGAAATCCAAGCAAATACAACCCAAGCCTTGACAAGGTAAGGCCTGGTTTACTCACACCTGAGATTAAGATAAAATGGAATGCTATTACAGACTGGAATTTTTACCCAGAAAATTTATACCCTGCTCCTCCAAAGGCCTGCTCCAGGCAGCTCACTTTGCACTGCAAATGAGGATCTGAATGTTAATACATGTGAAAACAAAACAAAAAGCACTCCATGCAACTAGAAAACTAGTACAGCAGAGGAGACCACCGTGTACATATTCACTTTTCTTGCTGCACTTATATGCAGGGAGCTTTTAACATTGAGCATTGTTCCAAAATGCTGCAGGTGGAGATTCACATTTTGGAACAGAGCTCAATTCACTCTTGCACTCCACTCTCCTGCATACATGAATTATGCGGAAGATGAGGTACACTAAACTCCCTGAGATGCAGGGGCAGACCAATAATTAGAAACCGCAAAGGAAAAACTAACATAATCTCTGCTGGGTGGAGGGGGAAGCCTATGGGTATTAAAAAGCCTCCTCCTAAGGTAGAGGTTCCCTTGCTCGAAAGCCAGTCGAATCCGACTCTAGGGTTGCGGTGCTCATCTCCGTTTCCAAGCCGAAGAGCCAGCGCTGTCCGAAGACGTTTCCGTGACCATGTGGCCGGCATGACTAAACACCAAGGCGCACGGAACCCTGTTACCTTCCCACTTGCAATTTCTTGCTTTCGAACTGCTAGGTTGGCAGGAGCTGGAACTAGAGACGGGAGCTCACTCCGTCATGTGGCGCACTCGGGTCTCGAACTGCTGAACTACCGACCTTCCAAGACCCTGCAGTTCAGCGTCTTAACCACTTGAGCCACCGCAGCTCCTAACGTAAAAGCCAGAAAAGCTGCCCAAGTAGACCCCCCACCCCCCCACCCCCCCA